TGATTGTGTGTGTGTGAGTGAGTGTGTGTGTGTGTTTACTCACGTCGAGTGTGTTCCATAAAAGAAGATGGGGATCTTATTTTGGGGGGCTTTTCCTTCACCAATCTGAGTGACATATAAAACAACATACCGACAGTCAGATTTTAATTGACCTCATTTACATATAAGACTGTATGTGATAAATACGCCTTAAATCTGCTGTATATAAACTCACCCTGGCAGGCCAGAAAGGATAACCCTTCATCTTAGCAAACACTATGTCTCCTGGAATAAAATCCTCTGTGGTCTGATCAGATGTCATCTTCATCTGAGAAAACATAGGGTTAATTAATAACAACAACACTCGTTATGTGCCACCAACACACAGAAACAATAAACAAAACACTGGACCAGCAGATACACCGCTTATATTAATAAAATTAGCCTTATGGTTATGAACATGCCTCTGTTAAACAATAATATGACTTTATTATCATTCCACCGCTATCGATGAGGTAAATAAAATGATAGCCGTGTTTAGCTAGCTTAGGCTAACACAAGCATATTGTGTGCATACAAACTCACCTTCACTCCCTTCTGCATGTCTACTCCCTCAGAGGCCACTCTATAAACACTCAGATTTAAAAACAAGACGGAAAACACTCGAATTAAAAATATTATCACGCAATGAATGAAAAGACATGGAGAAGTGCATGAGAATGTGTGTCTCCCCTCAGCGCCGGTGGAATGGTTCGGCCCGCCTCCCGCTCAGCGTGACTGAGGAATGTACCACTACTGAGAGAGGGGGGTGGGTGAGGTTGTAATTACTTAAAATATAATTAATAACAGCTATTCTTCGCAACATTTAGATCAGCTACCACGTATTTTACCTTATATTTAATTACTTGCGAATTAAAAATTATAGTCGCAAACTGAAAAGCAAAATTGCGTCACTGTTTGTCAACATCGGTCGTTTAATAGTTAAGATTCCGCGGAAGGAAGCGGCAAAATAAAGACGTTTAAAATATTTTAACCCTTTATTTACTAATTTAGCAAAATAAAATAAACGTCCACGCGTAAATCAGAAGCAAACAGCGATACATGTTTTAATTAATATTTCGCAGTTTTTTATTCGCTTGTGGCCGTTGTCATGGTGAGCGCGGAGGAAATATGGCGCCAGATTCAAACAGAAGCTGATGGAGTTTACGCTTTAATATTTTATTATGGTATCTGTACTTTTACTCTAGTAAAATTTAAAACGAGTACTTGTACTTTTACTAGAGAAATGTTACATATTTATGTATGAGTTATGTAGTCTCTCTTAAAAAGGGGTCATATGATGCGATTTCAATTTTCCCTTTCTCTTTGGAGTGTTACAAGCTCTTGGTGCATAAAGAAGATCTGTAAAGTTGCACAGACTAAAGTCTCAAATCCCAAGAGATATTCTTTATAAAAGTTAAGAGTAAGCCACGCCTACCTAAAACGGCTCGTTCTAACACGCCCCCACATGTCTACGTCACGATGTGGGAAGATTTGCATAACTCCGCCCAAATGTTCACGCAAAGAAAGAAGGCGTAACTTTTATTCTCGCTGTAGTATTGTTTGGGCAGTGTAGAGTAGTGCTTGTTTGTCATTTCTCCGATCACAAATGCAGACATGGTTTTATGTTTACGCGGCGCGATGCAATGCAACGCGTAAAAAGACAGTATAAGTCATTATAATCAGTAATCATGTCCCCACTGGATGCAACAAATGCCTCGTTTATAATGGGTTTTAATGTTTTTGTCTCGTCGCTCCGGGACACGGCATCAACAGTATGTGAGGGGCGTAACAGTTCCGTCACACGCTTGATTCGGCCAATCACAACGCATTGGATAGCTGGCCAATCACAGCACACCTCGCTTTTCAGACCGATGAGCTTTGTAAAAATCGACGCGTTTCAGAAAGGCGGGGCATAGAGGAGAAACAATAATGCTCACACACACAAAAACACCTGTGTCGCACTCTTAACAGGACTGTGAATCTTCACTGGTTTCACGATTCGATGCGTTTACGAGTATCATGTCAACGATTCGATTCACTATGATATCATAGTTTTCAATATTACTGCACATGGCTACATTTTCATATCAAATTTATTTTGTGCATTTTTAGTAAATTATATAAGCAGGCTACTTTTTAAAATAATTTCAAATGAATAATAAATCAAAACAATTGTTAAGAATTTAACCAACTAAATATAGCTTCAAAACATACAAGCAAATATAAAGTAATAAAGGGGGGAAAAGACAATTACAAGTGATAAACAAAAAGTACTTTCAGTATCTGAGAGTGCTTTAAGTATCCGAAAGTTTACAGACAATCATAGTTATGAGTTTTTCTTTTTTCCTCAGCATTATTTCTGTTTGATTATTACTGATGAGATCACAGACAATAGGCTGCATTCACACTAATGCACAGATCTGTTTCCACATATCAGATGTTTTGTCCTGTTCTGAAAACATAACTGATTGTGTTTACATCAATTTCATATCATAAAAGGATGGAAGGAATTATATATTATTTAGAAACAGTCATGAACTACATTGAAGCTACTTAAGGGGAAAATAATAAATAATATTTAATAATAAATCATATAATTACAAATCAGAGCATTATTTATCTGGCACATAAAGAATGAGGTGTAAAGAAGTGTGAGAACATCAAACTACAACATGTCTACACTAAATACAACCAATACAGCTAAAAAAACATAATTTCGAACACCAATCAACTGCAGTATTTAATGACATTTTATTTATTTTCATAATTAGTTTTCTTGTACATTTAGCAGAATTATTAAATAAGTTACTTGCCATTTTTTCTCATGAAAGCTGCAAACCACATGTTATTTCTTTGGTCTGCTGGTTTTAAAGCAGGGACGCTTATTTCATCAAACACATTAATGCTTGATTATCCGAGTAAGCGACAGTCACAGTTTTCACGCAGATGCTGGATGTCAGAGGAGCGTGTGTGTTTGTGTAATCCTCCACTCTGTGGAAATCCTCTTTCCAGTCGCCATCTACAGATGAGGAGAGATGGATTATTATGGCGTTATTTTAATGACAAATGTCGAGAGCGCATTATTGCAGCGTGAAAGCACATTAATACAATGCGCAAGCGCGAATCTCTCCGCTCGCGCGCGGATTTCCTTTGCTCTCGCACAAAACCGGACGCGCGCGCTCTCAGATACACGCTGCTCTCGCCCGGAGAGTATGGAAGGCCAAAAAGGCCAAAAACACGAGACGCGTTAAAATTCACGTGTTTTTGGCCCTTCTGGCCTTCCATAGGAGAGAGTGCGCGCACTTAAAACGTGTCTCTCCTCTCACTCAAACTGTATCCTGTGCACTCACAAATCTCTCTGTGCTCATGCGCTAGATATTAATTATTTTTGCACCTGAATTAAACATTGTCAAATGTTATCAACCAATGAGATTTCAAAGGTGGATCTTGTAATTTCTTTATAATTTAATACTACTAAATCATAATAATCAAATATTAGAAATGAATCGGGTGCTTGGATTATTTGTAAATACTCTATATCTGAGCGCGCGCGTCCGGTTTTGTGCGAGAGTAAAGGAAATCCGCGCGCTCGCGGAGAGATTCGCGGTCGCGCATTGTATTAATGTGCTTTCGCGCGACAATAATGCGCTCTCGACATTTGACATTAAAATAACGCCATATTATGGCTGTAGGTCTCAGTTCATGAAGATTATCTGACTGTCAGTGGCTGCTTACACTGGCTGCCAGGGATGTGCTGAGTGAGTGTCTATGTGTGTGTGCGTGCGTGCGTGCGTGTGTGTGTGTCGCTGTTGCATCAATGCAAACTCCTCAACTTTTGGTGAAAATTCACCTTTTTGAGATAAAAAAAACAGTATCTATGTATTTATAAACTCTGTCTTTTGAGAAAAAAAAAGCCATATATATATATATAAATTAAATAGAATTAAATTCGAAATTGTGGGACAAAAGTCAGAATTGTGAGTTTGTGTGTGTGTGTGTGTGTGTATATATATATATATATATATATATATAAAAGATTATATAAGATATATATAAAAGATTATATAAGATATATAGAAAAGATATACAAGATCAAAGATTCACGCTCCGAAGTTCCGATCTGAACCAAATGATTCACAATAAGCACTTTGAAGTTCCGATCTGAATCAAATGATTCGCGATACACACATTGTAGTTCCAATCTGAACCAAATGATTCGTGATAAGCGCTCCAAAGTTCCGATCTGAATCAAATGATTCGTGATAAGCGCTCCGAAGGTCCGATCTGAATCAAATGATTCATGATAAGTGCTCCGAAGTTCCGATCTGAGTCAAAAGATTCGCGATACGCGCTCTGAAGTTCCAATCTGAGTCAAAAGATTCGCACCCTGCTCCGAATTTCCGATCTGAATCAAATGATTCGTGATACGTGCATTGAAGTTCCGATCTGAATCAAATGATTCGCGATACGTGCATTGAAGTTCCGATCTGAATTAAATGATTCGCGATACGTGCATTGAAGTTTTGATCTGAACCAAATGATTTGCGAAAAGCGCTCCGAAGTTCCGATCTGAATCAAATGATTCGCGATACGCGCTTTGAAGTTCCGATCTGAACCAAATGATTCGCAATAAGCGCTCCGAAGTTCCAAACTGAACCAAATGATTTGCGTTAAGTGTTCCGAAGTTTCGATCTGAACCAAATGATTCGCAATAAGCGCTCCGAAGTTCCAAACTGAACCAAATGATTTGCGTTAAGTGTTCCGAAGTTTCGATCTGAACCAAATGATTCGTGATAAGCACTTTAAAGTCAAAAGAGCCACGAACCCGCTCTGAAGTTCAGATCTGAATCAAAAGATTTGCGAGCCCGCTCCGAAGTTCGGATCTGACTCAAATGATTTGCAATACGCGCTTTGAAGTTCCGATCTGAACCAAATGATTCGCGATAAACACTCCGAAGTTCGGATCTGAAGCAAATGATTCGCAAGAAGCGATTTGAAGTTACTCTCTGAACTAATGATTGGCGATAAGCGCTCCGAAGTTCCCATCTGAGTGAAAAGATTCACAAACGTGCTCCGAAGTTCCGATCTGAATCAAATGATTTGCGATACGTGCTTTGAAGTTCCGATCTGAACCAAATGATTTGCGATAAGCACTTTGAAGTTCCGATCCGAGTCAAAAGATTTGTGAACCCGTTCCACAGTTCCGATCTGAATCAAATTATTCGTGATACGTGCTTTGAAGTTCCGATCTGAAACAAATGATTCGCGATAAGCACTTTGAAGTTTCGATCCGAGTCAAAAGATTTGTGAACCCGTTCCACAGTTCCGATCTGAACCAACTGATTCACGGTAAGCGCTCCGAAGTTCCGATCCGAGTCAAAAGATTTGTGAACCCGTTCCGAAGTTCCGATCTGAATCAAATTATTCGCGATACGCGCTTTGAAGTTCCGATCTGAACCAAATGATTTGCGGTAAGTGCTCCGAAGTTCCGATCTGCACCAAATTATTCACGGTAAGTGCTCCCAAGTTCCGATCTGAACCAAATGATTCGCGATAAGCACTCCGAAGTTCCAATCTGAGTCAAAAGATTTGCAAACCCGCTCCGACGTTCCGATCTGAACCAAATGATTCGCGGTAAGCGCTCCGAAGTTCCAATCTGAGTCAAAATATTTGCAAACCCGCTCCGACGTTCCGATCTGAACCAAATGATTTACGTTAAGTGTTCC